TATTATTATTATTATTAAAAATAAATTTAAATTTATTAGTTTAGAGCTAAAAATAGTAAAAAGTTAATAAAATTATATAAACTTTTTTTAACTAACTATATACTTATTTTACTATTATATATATATATATATGATTCGGCTCCCATGATAATCATGTTCTAGGTGAGAACCTCTGAATGAATCCAATTAAATCATTACTTTAGTAGATCTAATAATTGAAAAAAAAAAAGTCGAATACATTGTGCTCAGATGGCATGTAGTGACATTTTTCATGTGGAAGGTCATGAGATAGAGGCATTGTTGACCCTTTGTGTTTCATACTACAATGTAATAGAGTCAGTAGTATTAAAAAAATGATGTGGTCATTTACATAAATATTACAAATTTAATTTTTTTTAATGTTTATGAAAATGACCTTGCTCTTTTTTTTTTTCTTTTTTTTTTTGATTTTTTATTCATTAGATGTTACATATCAATGGTTTACATTTGTCCACATGTTTTTACTTGAGAGTGTTTCTCATATTAACCAAATTATATATATAGACACACACACTGGCACACATAGTAGGTCGAGTGAAGTTCTAGATTGGTGTTGTACATAAAACTCAAATCCAACTCGACTCACTGCGAGTTCAATTTTCAGGACCCACCCCGACTGACCACAGACTATCACCCTAAAAACATGACACATGCGTGGTGAATTCGGTGGATATCTAGGGGCAGATCGAAATTGTCATCCCTATTTATATCTAAATGTCATGAGTTCAATTTTTATCGAACACATTCTCAGTCGAGTCAGCCACACATAATTTTTCTAGTGCGATTTATATCTCCTATACAATTTGTGATATATTATACAGGAATAGAGTTTACTCAATACACATTCTTAATTAGATAATAAGATACAATTTTCTATCGTCCCCCAAATATTCATCAATTAGAATTAAATTATATTAAATTTTTAAAAGTTTTCAAAAAAAATATTAAATTTTTAAAAGTTTCAATAATGCAAGTTTGACTAAACACAAACTAGGAGTGGCTAGCTAGATAGCTTCACTACAGTTTTTATTTTAATGGTGTGAGCATTATGTTTATTCCTGACCATATTATATAATGATAATAATAAGCCAATTATCAAGCATGCTTTATATATCTTGTTTTTGGCATAATATATAATTACAATTGTTGAATTCCCACCTTATCCAAATTCTTTGGTTAGCTGTTTTATTGGAACCGTCTCATCTGTGTGCCTCACCTGACCTCCCTCCCAAAACCGACCTGCAGTCCACAGATTAAAAAAAAAATAAAAATTAATTAATAGATAAGTAAATAACAAATTGAGGGTGGATGGCGTGGATCTTTATCCCATCCCCTACCAACGCATTAGCTCTTTCCACTTCAACTAATAAGAGCACTTCAACTAATAAGAGATAGGCGCGTGCAATGCACCATACTGTTTTGTTTGGGAAAAATGACTGAAATGTGTAAGTAACTCGGCACATGCATTTCTTAAAATATGACGTTGCTAGGGATTGGATGAAAATATGAAAAACACATTTGGGAAATGCATTTGATCACATCTCTCTTCTTTTTTTTTTCTTTTTTTTTTTTCTTGTCTTATCCGGCGAAGGAGAAGGCAACCAATGTCAGAAGGGCGCCAAAACTGGAGCTTAGAACGGCGGGGAAAGACTGGGTGGCCGGAAGCGCGGTGGAAGATTTAGATTGGGTTTGGGAGAAGCAACGCTGGGTATTGATTGCGAGGAGTGAACGGTCGCTTTCAGGGTCATTGAATTCGGATCTTTTGCCTGTGAACGCTGTCGTTGTAGGCGTAATTGACGCTGCTGCGGTTGTGGCAGTGGCAGCGGGTGGTGGGGGTGGGGGAGAACTGGTACTATTAGGCGGTGACGTTTTTGTAGTATTATTATTTCCACAGTTGGGACTGCCCTGAATTTTATCTCCATCTTCTTCTTGTGCTTCTTGCTGGTCCTTCGCCAAAGAAGACAAGGGAAAAAAAAAAACGTAAGTGAGATTTGCGTTTCTCGAGAAACACAAGTCTTACTTGCCTTTCATGTTTGATCGGAAATGTGATAAAACGCATTTTCCAAACGTGTTTTTCATATTTTTGTCCAATCTCAGCAGCGTCATATTTTTAGAAATACATGTGTCTACTTGTGCATTTCAGTCATTTTTCCTTTTGTTCGAAATCGGGTTCCATTGTTTGACAAGGGGAATAGTGTTATCCTTATTCATTTCATGTTTTGGGATTTGTTACTCGCCCATTTTATATGTCAGGATATGCATGTTTTAGAGTTTAACTCTTTAATTTGTATAAAGAATATAATGCTATATACATTCCTCCTAAAAACTTTTATGGTAATTATGTGAGTCAACTAATTCATAATATTCAATGAATATAAGACACATCATGTGAAAAGATATTAAGAAAAATTTATGAGCGATAAATAACATTTTTCTTGTAGTTTAAATTGTTTATTGATTTTCTTGATTTAAGTAAGTCAGTTAGTTAAAATTTCTTGTGCCCTCCATCTAGATGGAAATAATTTAAATTGGTTCTTTGAAATTAACTAATCCAAAATAACAAACATCCTTTTAGTACAAAGATTAAGCGTTTTAAAGGAAGGATAATGTCGTGTTTTCAACTAAATCATAGATCATATAACACCCGAGTGCACAAAGGCAAAAGGGGCCATGCATGAAAGTTCAGAACCACTTGAATATTGAGAAGGGAGATCTTCATATATATATATATATATATATATATATATATATATATAAAATCTTGATATCATATATAAATGACTCTTGTTCATACCATATATATATATATATATATACACACACACACACACAAGCTTCCTCCATCAACTTATCCACAGCCTGACAACTTTATATTTAAAAAAAAAAAAAAAAATTACTTTACATATAAGCTAGCTAGCTGTCTGCAACATAACTGAAAGCAACCTTTTATGTCTATTAGCCTATTAGGTTAATAATTTGTATCATTATGTGGTGTTTTTAACACTTTACTGGTGTTTAAATATAAGTTTCAGTAGCAGAAAAGCTTCTTAAAAGATCTTAAAAGCAGATCAGATCATGAAGCTTTAGTTAACAAATTGCCAAAAGATCGAGGTGTTAATCACAGTCATTATATTTGGGTTAGATTAGATTGTAATCAGGCTACTTGCACCCTGTGGGGCCGCCAAGTAGTACGATGTTAAGTTAATAAAGACAAGGATTAAGGATCTTAAAGGGGACAATTTTCTCACAGAATCTTGTTCCTCAGAGGTGGATTATCAAGGAGATCTAGTAACACCTCAGCAAATAGATTCGGTTGTGCACCACCTAGGACGGACTATTAATAACAAAATAATGAGTTCCTAAGTTCGACTCTCAACTGGAGTGACATATTAACATTCTTGGTATGAGCTGATCAGCTATAGACAATTTAGACTGATTTGTCTCATTGAGATCCTTTACCTGCTAGGGCCACAAGGTTAGGTTTACCCAGTTCATACTTTCACATAGTAATTACGGGTTCCTTTCATCATCCAAAAAATAATGAGTTTTCCAGTGCATATATAGTACACAGAGGCTAATGTAAATTAATGCAAATGGGTGCTTAACTGTAGTGTTTATATATATATATATTAGTAAAACATGCAAATTGCAATATATGGATAAGATGCTTTAGATTTCATAGACATGTATCGAGGTTTCCTGGCCGCAGGTTGTTTAAATTAGTATGGCATTATATACATATGGCATTATTAGCCTATGTTTGATAACCCACTCCTCGTACTAGTTACTCATTTCATTTCTTTTTCGTATTGCATTAGTATCTGCATCCCGTACAGATAATAAAAATAAATTCGTCAAATATTCAATCCGAAGCAATCCTTTTAAGAACGTTACTTTTACATTCATATAAATTCGAACTTTTGACATTATACTTAATCACATTTTACTTCTTAAGAAATTAGTATAAGTGAATGCAATTAGTTTAACCAAAGCTAGATTAAGAAAAAACACAATATAAAAATAGACGATGAACTTCATGCATTGTATTAGGGTCAAACTAACTAAGCGCTTACTATATATTACACCAAAAGTTATAAATAACAGCGAAAACGTGATTTTATTTCCTTATATCATCATCATATTTTCAAATAGTAGAGTGTTGAACTTGACCTTTCAGACCACTATCCAATCATCACATAATCATCAATCCTTCATGGGTGTTCACCAAACATATAGACTAAGGGGTGAGGATCGGAGTTTTCTCCACTAATCCCACTACAGACCCTGGGGGTTGATTGGGCTCAACCTTTTTAAAAGTAGATTAAAAAACCTGGACGCCGCAGAACGGGAAACTTCGTTCTGGGTTCCTAGGTCCTGGGACCCAAGTCGCAATTGGTTTTGAGGATGTCGTGGTTCTGTCCAATCAAGACATCCCAACTCCAAGTGGACCCCACCCATTATATTTGATAAGATAAACACCAATTAACAACGTGTGCCGAAAGCGGAAAGCCTCAGTGGAGGAAGGAACCTGTGCATTTTGTTGCCTCACAAATTATTATGAATTATAATAAAAAGTACATTTTTAATATATTAAAAATATGTTATTTGTGTATTAATTGTATACTATATTTTTTATTAAATAATATATTTTTAGTATTTGAATAATATATATTTTATAAATACAATGTACATTTTTAATATATTAAAAGTATATTATTTATATATTGAATGCATATTATTTGATAATATAGTCCACATAATTATATAGACTATGGTTTATATAATAATAATAATTGATTTTGCCTAGATCCAATTTTTCTTTTTAAAATTTGGGGTTTAAGAAAATTATTTGTCGCAATACCTATTTACTGTAACAATGTAAAAAAACATTTTTTTTTCTAATTGCCTGGCCCACACTTTATTGCTTTTCCCTTGTTATAAATTCTCCCTCTATTCCCTAGTTCTATTCATCTTCCAACAGAGAATTGAACAAGCTTTTGTATACTAACGAACGGAGATTAAAAAAAAAACAAAACAAAAAACCCAGTATTAATCATGGCTTCTGATCTTCTTGGTCAAGATTTCTTGGAAACTTTCCGGTCTCGGAAGTTGCTGTTATCGGCCCCGGCGCCGGCAAACAGCAGCTTCGACACGGTGGCGGCCAGCAGTACGACGACATTTGACGCGAACGTTGTGATGGTCCTGTCGGTGTTGCTGTGCGCTTTGATCTGCTCGCTGGGGGTGAACTCCATCATAAAGTGCGCGTTGCGGTGTTCGAGCATTGCCGCCGGGAGGACGGCGGCGGCGGAGAGATCAAGTTCCGGCGGCAGCTCGGCTGCGGCGAGGCAGGCGAATACGGGGATCAAGAAGAAGGCGCTCAAGACGTTCCCGGTGATCAGCTACGCCGCCGACGCCAAGATGCCGGGGCTGGACACCGACTGCGCCATTTGCCTGTCGGAGTTCGCCGCCGGCGACCGCGTCAGGCTGCTGCCGAAATGCAACCACGGCTTCCACGTCCGCTGCATAGACAAGTGGCTCAGCTCTCACTCCTCCTGCCCCACTTGCCGCCACTGCCTCATCCAAACCTGCCAGAAAATTGTCGGCTGCACCGCCGCCGCCGCCACCCAACCGCCTACTCCCGCCACGCCCCCGCCGGTTCCGGCCACCGTCGTCCTCCAGATCGAACCCCTCCACCGGGAAGGTCTCATACCAAACTATCATAATTAGGTTAACTTTTTCTTTAATTTAGTTAATTGAGCGAAAAATTTGTAACCCCCAAGATTTCCAATTGTACATTTATTTAACTTCTATTTTGTTTAAAGGAAAAAAGAGTTTAATTTCATGCCACAATCTACAAACCAACTGAATTTGCGTACTTATTTCTTACTAGTACGAATGTCACAAAGTAATTTTAACTCAAGAACAAGCTAAGTATCAAATAATTAGATCAACTTATCGTTTTTGTGTAATTGGGTCACTGACCATATAAAATACGCAATTGAATTATCAAACAAACAAAATATGGCCATGCTTGATAAATGACTGTTAGCTGATAGCTGATTGGGTTGATTATAAGGTATAATTAGTTGATAATATTAGTTGATTGTAGAAAAGTATTTGGTAAATTAATTGTTAGCTGATAGTTGTCTGGTATAATTTGTTTTCTCGAAAAAACTAATTGGAAAAATTGTTTTGAACAGTTTTTTTTTGAATTTTAACATTTTGGAGTTACAAAAAGCTAATTAATTAACCACTTATATTAATTTTTTAACCAAGTCAAACAATTAATAGTGGTCAAATAAGTTACAATAGGATTTTTTATTATTTATTATTATTATTATTTTTTTTTTTTGGAGATATAAGTTACAATTGGTTGATAAACTAACTATTTTACCAAACAGGGCCTATGTGTATTTTTCAAATAAGATATTTTATGATTTATTTTAACACAATTTAAGTTGAAAACATTTCAATCTTTCCTCCCAACTAGTATGACAGAGGACATGACGATTATATTCTAAGTACATACCATATAAGTTATATGATTAGGTTTTATTTGAAGAAATTAGAAAAATGTTCCAATTGTACATATTTAATTTGTTTTATGGTTTAATTACATTTTTTTTTCAATTTCAATGACACAGTTGCACACAAAAGCAATAAGCTCAGTGGTCTATTTAACATTTTTTAATATATTATCAACGACAACATATGTCACAAGATGAACTAGTTTAATTTTAAATAAATACAATATATTGTATAACATTTTCCTTCTAATGATTCATTTGCACTTTAATGGAGATTATGGTACGACGATAATGCGGATTAGTAAAATAAGAATCTTGAAACACTGTCTACACGGATTTAGTTAACCAATTCAGTAGACAATATTTGGGAAGAGAAGAATCTTGAAATATTAGTCATATAGTAATTAATATGCTATGTTACCATATATAAAGTGTATAATACACAACAAAACATGTGTATGGATGAAATTATATTGATGTGTTGTAATCATGCAATCCATACAAGTGGTGCCCCAACATAACAATAATTTCAGTACAATTCATCAACACTACAACATTAGCATTGTACTAGGTATGATTGATTGATTAATTGAGTAAAAGTAATTTTCATGGGTTCGGAAATGGATGAAAGTGAAAAGACAATAGATAGTAACGTAAATACGGAAACGCCAAAAAGTATGCTTGTTGAGTCGACAAATCACGATTGCAAAACACAATTTGTCACGTTAATTAAAAGGCATAGAAACACAATTCCACTGATCTGATAGCTTAGCCAATCTTAGGGAAACAATTTTCTACTAATCTCAGCAGTTGATCAGAAAATTTTGGGTAAAAAAAATTGAGTTACTTAAATGATTCCAGATTTTTCACCGCGTGTACTTTTACGCACAAGTGGTTTCCAAACCCCACCTTGTTGACCTTGTCGCTACACTAAAGTGCGTTCTAGGTAGTCTGATCTGCTTCGTGACCTAACCAGTAAAAGACCACAAGAAGGTAAACTAGTGTCACAGACTGTTTTTTGTGACCGTATTAAGACCCAATAAGGAATGAATCGGCCAACTGGTTAACATGCTAAATGGGTAAAAGGGGTGTCAATAGGGTTAAGGGTTGTTCTGCCTTAGACGCTAAGGTTTGATCGAGTTAGGCATGCCAACCCGATTATGTTTGGAAAACTTGTCTATACTTGACTATGAATGAAGGGGACCAATGCGATTCGAGGGACACAACTGGTCAGGAGCTATTGCCGCTTCCCTAATGAGCACATGACAGGGTGAAACCAGTATGACACGTATGAGGGTAAGGCTGGTCCGCCGGGTATGAGGGGCCCAGGACGTCGGATGGACGTTGTATGCTGCGCCAGACTCTATGCCCCTGACACTAGTCTTGGTTGTCTATAGTTGACCGACTAGATTCAATAAAGTCAATAGACGATTTTTACATGAGTCAAACTTAAAATCTTGTGGTTATCAAGTTAATTGCGTCAGACCATGTAATTTGAGCTACCTAGCAAGACATTTTTTGCATTTTTATATGATCGAATTGGCGTAAATGACAAAGCTAAGCAAAAACGTGCAGGTTCCAGGTGATGGAGGATGAAGATTAAAGGGATTGAAAAGAAATAAAAGGGCGTATAGTAATGAATGGGCCACCAAATTAAATGTGTATGGAAGCTGAAGAGGACTGCACAAACTCTGATCTTTCATATATCAATCACGTTTTATACTTAGTATGTGCAGTCCCACAAAATCAAATCTGGTTTAATACTTTATTTTTTTCCTGTGAGTTATCCGAGGAAGGTATGTATATATGGTGACAAATTATATTGTGGAATATTGATAAATGTTATTTTTATGATATTGAAAGTTTATCTTTAATGTACAATACATTAAAGCTCTGTTTACAAACTTAGCTGAAAAGTTATAAGCTAAGAGTTGAAAGCTGAAAAATTATAAGCTCAGAGCTGAGAATTGAAGAGCTGTTAAGCTAGCTGTTATGATTGAAAGTGTTTGATAAAATTAGCTTTTTGATAAGCTGATAAATGTAAAAAGATTAAAAAGGACATCTTCATAAAATTTAAATTAGTTTGTTTACATATTAAAATTTAACATTTTTCTTTAAAAAAATTAACATTTTGAAATAAAATTATTAGCATAATCATGATTTAGCATCTCATAATGAAGTAGCAATATTGTTGCAAATAATAATAATAATAATAATAATAATAATAATAATAATAATAATAATAATAATAATAAGAAGGGAAAATTATAAAAAATGTCCCTCTATAATATGCCAATTCAATGTCACCCCTGAATTATGAGTGGTGTAAATGTTGCCCCTCAATTATCAAAATGGTGCACATATAGCCCCTCCCGTAACGGACATGTGGTTCCCCACCGCTGTCCATCGCTGGTACTTCGAATCGAGGGAGGGAAAAAACAACTAAATTACATGTTTACTCCGACTTAACGGTGTCGTACACTAATGGGGAATCACATGTCCGTTACGGGAGGGGCTATATGTGCACCGTTTTGATAATTGAGGGGCAACATTTTCACCACTCATAGTTCAGGGGTGATATTGATAATTGGCATATTATAGAGGGTCATTTTTTACAATTTTCCCTAATAATAATAATAATAATAATAATAATAATAATAATAATAATAATAATAATAATAATAATAATAATAATAATAATATTATTATTATTATTATTATTATTATTATTATTATTATTATTATTATTATTATTATTTGCAGTGAAAGTTGCGGATAAAGGAGAAGAGAAATGAGTTTTAATTGGGAAGGGTAATTATGTAATTTCTTTAAAATAATAAGGATAAAGATGGAAAAAAAAAGTTAGGAAGCTAGGAGCTTATTTTGAAACGCAACCTAAAGTAGCGTTCCAAAATAAGCTCTTATTTTAAGCTAGGAGCTTATTTTGGGAACATTACCAAACAGAGCTTATAGCTTATTAGTAGCTTAAAATAAGCTATAAGCTCCTAAATAAACTTTGTCAAACAGCGCATAAGAATGAACATGTAATACATTAAAACTATATCTCTAATACGTAAATTAAAAATGATTTTTTTTTTAAATACTACTGAATCTATTACAATGTAGTATCTGTACACAAATAGTCAACATCGCCTCCACTGAGGCTCAAACCCACAATTTCCCATATAAGGAAGCAACTTGATGCCATTGGACCACAAAGTCACAATATAATGACTGATATATGCTTTTCTTATGGTCAGGCTACTAGGCCTAAGACCACGACCTTGATTGGCCTACAAGCCTCCAAACGCTTGTACATAGGCTATTAGGCCCGAGACTATGGCCTCAACTAGTCGTCAGTCCTCTAAATGCTTGTAAACTAGTGATGCAATTGCTAGGCCTAAGACTAAGATTTCAATTGGCTTAGAGCATCCTCAATAGTGAGGTTTTGGGGGTAATTTTTGATGTGCAAAGTACGAGAGAGAAGAGGGAAAGAGAAGAAGAAGAAGAAGAAGAAAAAGAAAAAACAGGTTTTGACGCAAAATAAAAAAGAAAACCAAACACAATGACACGCAAGATGTGCAACCCTGCGCGTTCTCCTTCTCTTGGTCTGTGCCGTGGGACTTGCAAAAAACCCACTCCTTGCAGGAGGAGCTCACATTTTTTCTTTCTTCCACTTCTCTCCCCCACATCACATTTGTTAATCTCAAAAACTGTGCAAAATGCACTAAGAGCATTCAGTTATTTTTTCCACAATTTTTAGAAGCCATTTAGGAGAGAGGGGAAGGAAAGAGAAAAAAAAAAATTTAAAAAAAAGCTGAAGTCTGACGTCAAAGGAAAAAAGGCGCCCAGCAATTTACGCGTCAGGCTAGCCGCGGTCAATGCACACAACACGCTCCTCTGCACATTTTCTGAAATTTTTCTCTCTCTTTGGGTCCATAAAAAACCCTTCACTTGCATGAAGATAAAATCCATTCTCTTTCACTATTCTCTTTCATCCACATCATCTTGCACTGTTCTAAAAATCACAAAAAAAAATGGATTAATGTGGTTGCTCTAATGGGGATGGCCTTACAAGACTCCAAATGCATGTACATTAGTGTTCACAACAAAGTCAAATCTATACCTCCCATTTTTAATCATTGGTAGGATTCGAACCTTACATCCTGTATGGTTGCTAGCAAAACAAAACTTATAATAAATTTATTTTGAATTGATTGATTAGTTAAGCTGTGGCTTGAAGACATATTATTATATAGATTTAATGAGTGTAAAAATTACTCAATTGTTATACCATGGACAAAGGTCCACCTTG